ATATCTGTAATTAAATTATTATACTGTAATACCATTAGTTATTTAAACAATGATGTCATTTGTGTTATAATTGTGTTGACTACTAATAATTTATATCACATATTATAAAATAAGTTTGTGTAAATAAAAGTTAATAAATTCATATAAACTTATAGTAATTAACAGTGAGTATATGGAAAAACTATTTACTATTTTTGTGTAACATAACCCATTATCTGATATCCTATTGGAATTCTACTTAGGAAAGTTTGTATACCTTGTACCTAGTTATCTTTAATTAAAGAGGTTTTTAAAATAAATATAATTTAAGAATATTTCGAATAAATAATAGGATATTAATTGTTATTATAATTCATGATTAATACAGAATTGAATGAAAATAAAAAATAAATGAGAAATTATTTTAAATAACGAAAAAAATATTAATAATTATCAAATGATATGTGGGTTGATATGGTAGTGGTATGTGATGTATGTTCAGGTGTTACGCGAGTCCGGCGTCTTTGGCGAGTGAGTGGAAGATAGACCTCTCGTTTTGGAGGAGAGCCTGGGGTGATTCAAACTCGGCTACCCGTCCGTAGTCGAGCACTAGTACTCTGTCGGAGTCCATAATAGTGTTGAGTCTGTGAGCGATCGTAAGTATTGTACATCGAGTGAATTCGGTTCTTATGGTCGTCTGAATCAGAGCATCGGTCTCGAGGTCTACGGCAGCCGTCGCCTCGTCTAAGATCAGGATATTTGTGTTGCGGAGCAGAGCTCTCGCCAAACACATCAACTGTCTTTGACCCACACTTGAGGGGAAAGGGAGGGAAGGGATCATTAGTTATGTAATCATAGGATATAAGTCTGTCTTATATTACCTGAGATTCTCTCCGCCCTCAGAGACCTTATAATGAATGCCTGCATCAGTACTGTTGACAAAGTCGTAGAGATGTGACTGTTGTATGGCTTTCCACACCCTTTCGTCTGAATACTTGTCAAACGGATCCAAATTGGATCGAATGGTTCCCGCGAAGAGCACCGGGTCTTGAGGTATGATTGTTAGCTTTGACCGCAATTCCTGTCCATTCAATCAATCCATAGATTATAATCGTCTGAATACTTGTCAAACGGATCCAAATTCGATCGAATGGTTCCCGCGAAGAGCACCGGGTCTTGAGGTATGATCGTTAGCTTTGACCGCAATTCCTGTCCATTCAATCAATCCATAGATTATAATATACTGTATATTAAAGTATAGCTTATTATAAACACTTCAAACATACCTGTAGTCCAATACTACTGATGTCGATGTCGTCGATCACTATCTTTCCAAACGCCGACTCTATTAGTCTGAATAACGCCAGAGTTAGCGACGACTTGCCGGCGCCCGTCCGACCGACTATTCCTACTTTTTCACCCTTTCTTACGCTGACGTCAACCCCTTTCAACACCAGATCTAATCCCTCCCTATATCTGGTGCCGTACTCCACGAACTCTACTCTTCCCTCTTGAGGCCACTCCTCTTTGGGTGGGTTTTCTGAATACCATTTCGCTTCCGACTCTATTTGCGTGTATTCGTCGATACGCTCGACGGCCACCACATTGTTCTCCATTTCCGCAAACATCCGGACCCCCCAATTCAACACTCCTCTTTGGGTGGATTTTCTGAATACCATTTCGCTTCCGACTCTATTTGCGTGTATTCGTCGATACGTTCGACGGCCACCACATTGTTCTCCATTTCCACAAACATCCGGACCCCCCAATTCATCACACCTGTGATATTCAGGGCATATGATATGGATAGTCCTATTTGGGAACCGTTAAGGCTGCCCTTCTCGAGCACCGACAGTAAGGCCGCGAAGAATATGACAATATTAGCCAAAAACTCGAGTCTCACTGATAGCCAAACATTTGCGATGGCGTTGGGATAGAAACACATCTGATTGGTGTCTACCCTCTGGTCTGATATATCAATGAACCGTTTGCTCACACCGTAGGCCCTAATAGTGGACACACCGTTCAGGGTTTCGCTGAAATGCGAGTATATCGGAGATCTTGACACTGACTCTAATCTATAAAATTTCAACAAATATAAATTATAATTATGATAAACATGGTCAATAAGTTTATCATTTGATATACCTTTTCAACTGACGACTGGTTGTGACATAAAATTTCTGTATTAAATAGTATATTCCCATTACCGGTACAAATATGGCTATAAATATCGGGGTCTCTATGGAAATGGTGATCAGTATAGCCACGGTCTGTAGGACTGTACTCCCGAGTACTCTATAGAAAGTGATAATAAAAATTAATTATAAATAAATGAATTTTTAATCGTTGCCAATCAATAGTCAGCTTGATTTCTATTACGTAAATAACTGAAGTTTTTAAGCATTAACCAAAACTTATGACACAATTATCTCTACCTTATAGTCATCTGCATAATGGTGTCCAATATGTCGATGTCTTTACTGAACCGATTGATGACTCGACCCATGGGTGTGGTGTCGAAGAAGTGCATCGGCGCGTGGATTATGTTTGACAGCAGTTTGTGGTGGAGATTACGGGAGGCCCGGAGTGATCCCACGACTATGGAGTACCACGAATACCATACAAATAAAGTTTGCAAGAGTCCTATGACAGCGTATATTCCCAAATAGTAGCCACTCTTAGCAGTGCCATCCGGGTCTTCCGTCCAATTGGTTAACCAAAAACTGGAGCCAGTGTTGAATCCGTTTTGACCGCAAAACCCAATCAACATACTTATGGTCCAAAACATGGACATTGCCATCGCGTACTTCTTATATATCTATTTGTTTTAATCAATAATTATTATCTATAGAAATACAATGTTTAATCAGGGTATTGATAAATACTTATCATAAATTATAATAGATGACTGATAATAGATTTATCATAAATTTCTAAATACTATGCTATTAACAATTATAACATAACTGTATTTGAAGTTGAAATTTTGAACTAATCTTTTTACCATAATAATTATTTTATAAATCTAAAATATAATCGGCGTTGTGGTGTCCTACCAATATTATAAACTAAAATCAAATTAATATATGGTATATGAACTCTCAAATTAATTGTTTACAGCTTATAGTAGCTTATTTTCATTATAAGGTAAGTGAAAGCAAGTTTACCTCAAACTTAACGCTTCCCGTTCCCATAGTTTCCGTTTCTACGAGTTTAGACTTATCATTAGTTTCCTGATTATTTGCCGGTATTTCAGTGGTCGACGCCCGATGTCTGACCGCCACTTCCGACGAGTGATTGCTGTCCGAGTCGTTGTCAGTGACTTCATTAGTGGTGTATTGAGTGATGAGTTCAGCGAAGTCTCCCTTAAGAGCCATGAGTTCATCATAAGTCCCAAAATCAGTGATCTTTCCGTTCTTTAAGACAATAATAT